GTCAGAAAATTATTTATATATTTGAAGAGAACAATAAACAAGCTTTTCAGAGATATGTAACATCATTGCTGGAATTTCGTACTAAGAACCGTATTTTAGCATTGAATCCCCCCCCCCCCCCGTCCCATTCATAATCATAGTAATAAAGTTTAGTACAACCCAAATTTGATCGTTTTTTTAAGGTAAGTAAATATGAATGTGCCAGAAATTATTTATATATTTGAAGAGAGCAATAAACAAGCTTTTCAGTGATATGTAACATCATTGCTGGAATTTCGTACTAAGAACCGTATTTTGGCATTGAATACCCACCTTCCCCCCTTCATAATCATAGTAATAGAGTTTAGTACCACCCAACATTGATCGTTTTTTAAGGTAAGTAAATATGAATGTGCCAGAAAATTATTTATATATTTGAAGAGAGCAGTTAACAAGCTTTTCTGTGATATATAACATCATGGCTGGAATTTCATACTAAGAACAGTATTTTGGCATTGAATACCCACCTCTCCCCCCTTCATAATCATAGTAATAGAGTTTAGTACAACCTAACTTTGATCCTTTTGTAAGATAAGTAAATATGGACGTGCCAGAAAATTATTTACATATTTAGAGAGAGCAATAAACAAGCTTTTCAGTGATATGTCACATCATTGCTGGAATTTCGTACTAAGAACTGTATTTTGGCATTGAATACCCACCTTCCCCCCTTCATAATCATAGTAATAGAGTTTAGTACCACCAGTGATGGGATTTCAAAATTTTTCATGTCGGACATTTTTACCGAAAATAAAGGGACATAACTCTTATCGTTATTTAAAATGGCAGTTTTTAGACCACACACAAAAATCACGTGTAAACAAAATATTCAAATTCGTCCGTAATATAAAAATAGGTGCACCTAGTTATTTTTCATATTTAATTCCCGTACGGTATTCAAATTTATGTCAGTAATATTCCTACAAAATTCGTAATACAATAGAATGAAAGCGTTCCGACTGCTGCCGATCTGTACTGTTTCAAATTCCTCCAAAATTACCGTATTTTCGGGTCATAAGTCGCTACATTTTTCAGCAGAAGTCCGGCATTCGTCTTAAACTCCGTTACGACTTATATACAGAGGGTAAGAATATGATATCCCGAGGAATGACACCATCCGCTAAATAATCGCTAGCACGCGCTATCGTCTAAAACAATTAAGTACTTACACTATTTCAATCGACATATTCGTCAACATTGCCTAGGTTACTTATTTCTTTATTTAAAAACATAAACCCCATTCAAAATATGATCGTAAATCCGAGAATATGCCATCAAAATAGAATCTTTTCTTCGGCATTAGAAGCGTGAATTTAGTCACGTATTCATTTCATAATTTCACGCGGCTCGCGAGATTTCTAATACCGGTATAGCACTCGGCAAACCTCGGCAGATTCCGTTACTCTACAAACAGCCCCTCTGTATGACGGTAAGTGATATGTACCTAATCAGATTTTCTTCAAACAAGGACAACTTTGCTCTGAAAATTCTAAACACGCTTTGAACGACGCAATTTTGATAACTTCTTTCTAAAACCGGCAAGTTCGTAGGTACATATCACTTACCGTCATGCAGTCGAAGCTAGATGTAGAGTAACAGAATCTGCCAAGGTTTCCCGAGTGCTGTAAAAGCATGCTAGAAATGTCTAATATTTTTCGGATATATGTGTGTGTGAAATAGCTTTATTTAACGCTCGCTTCCACCGAAGTGATATAGCAGACGAATTATAATGACTGTCTATTGATCTGGGCGTTATATACTCTTACAATATGTGACTTCTATGACTAGTTTATACATATTGTCGGCTCACATCAATGCGATTAAAATGTCCGTCAATGCAGAAACCACGAGGTTAACAAACGAAGATTAAAATTATAATGGATTGATGAATATTCCGACAAAGGGGAAACAATGGCTTCCGTTTAAGATTAGATTGATGAATTGTCCGACAAAGGAATAAGTCAGTCAATCAAGGCAGATAAAGTAGTTAATCAAGGTATGTTTATAGACCGTATAACACGATAAATACGTTGATCACTTAATTACCTAATCAATCCAGCGTATTATCGACGATAATCTGGTTGAGTGGTAGTTATACACTCAGTAAACTATATGAATTTCGGAATTTTGAATATTATTCACCATGTCTTGATGTCCGATTGGGCATATTCCCGGTCGGACAATTTTGGGCGTTTGGAAAAAAGATTCGGACAAGTCCGGAATATACGGGCAAAATCCCATCACTGAGTACCACCCAACTTTGATCGTTTTTTAAGGTAAGTAAATATGAATGTGCCAGAAAATTATTTATATATTTGAAGAGAACAATTAACAAGCTTTTCTGTGATATATAACATCATGGCTGGAATTTCGTACTAAGAACAGTATTTTGGGATTGAATACCCACCCCTCCCCCCCTTTGATCCTTTTGTAAGATAAGTAAATATGGATGTGCCAGAAAATTATTTACATATCTAGAGAGAGCAATAAACAAGCTTCTCAGTGATATGTAAACTTTATTACTATGATTATGAATGGGGGGGGGGGGTATTCAATGCTAAAATACGGTTCTTTGTACAAAATTCCAGCCATGATGTTATATAACACTGAAAAGCTTGTTTATTGCTCTCTTCAAATAGATAAATAATTTTCTGGCACATTCATATTTACTTACCTTAAAAAACGATCAAAGTTGGGTGGTACTAAACTCTATTACTATGATTATGAAGTGGGGGGGGGGGGGTATTCAATGCCAAAATGTTACATATCACTGAAAAGCTTGTTTATTGCTCTCTCCAAATTACTTACGTTAAAAAACGATCAAAGTTGGGTGGTACTAAACTCTTTTACTAATTTTAAAAAACGATCAAATTTGGGTTGTACTAAACTTTATTACTATGATTATGAATGGGACGGGGTATTAAATGCTAAAATACGGTTCTTAGTACGAAATTCCAGCCATGACGTTATATATCACTGAAAAGCTTGTTTATTGCTCTCTTCAAATATATAAATAATTTTCTGGCACATTCATATTTACTTACCTTAAAAAACGATCAAAGTTGGGTGGTACTAAACTCTATTACTATGATTATGAAGAGGGGGAGGAGGGTATTCAATGCCAAAATACGGTTCTTAATACGAAATTCCAGCCATAATGTTACATATCACTGAAAAGCTTGTTTATTGCTCTCTCCAAATTTATTAGCTTAAAAAAGGATCAAAGTTGGGTGGTACTAAACTCTATTACTATGATTATGAAGGGGGGGGGGTATTCAATGCCAAAATACGGTTCTTAGTACGAAATTTAAGCAATGATGTTACATATCACTGAAAAGCTTGTTTATTGCTCTTTTCAAATATATAAATAATTTTCAGGCGCATTCATATTTACTTACCTTAAAAAACGATCAAATTTGGGTTGTACTAAACTTTATTACTATGATTATGAATGGGACGGGGGGGGGGGGGGTTATTCATTGCTAAAATACGGTTCTTAGTACGAAATTCCAGCAATGACGTTACATATCACTGAGAAGCTTGTTTATTGCTCTCTCTAAATATGTAAATAATGTTCTGGCACATCCATATTTACTTATCTTACAAAAGGATCAAAGTTAGGTTGTACTAAACTCTATTACTATGATTATGAAGGGGGGGGGGGGTATTCAATGCCAAAATACGGTCCTTAGTACGAAATTCCAGCAATGATGTTACATATCACTGAGAAGCTTGTTTATTGCTCTCTCTAAATATGTAAATAATTTTCTGGCACGTCCATATTTACTTATCTTACAAAAGGATCAAAGTTAGGTTGTACTAAACTCTATTACTATGATTATGAAGGGGGGAGAGGTGGGTATTCAATGCCAAAATACTGTTCTTAGTATGAAATTCCAGCCATGATGTTATATATCACAGAAAAGCTTGTTAATTCCTCTCTTCAAATATATAAATAATTTTCTGGCACATTCATATTTACTTACCTTAAAAAAACGATCAAAATTGGGTGGTACTAAACTCTATTACTATGATTATGAAGGGGGAAGGGGGGTATTCAATGCCAAAATACGGCTCTTAGTACGAAATTCCAGCAATGATGCTACATATCACTGAAAAGCTCGTTTATTGCTCTCTTCAAATATATAAATAATTTTCTGGCACATTCATATTTACTTACCTTAAAAAAACAATCTAATTTGGGTTGTACTAAACTTTATTACTATGATTATGAATGGGAAGGGGGGGGGGGGGGTATTCAATGCCAAAATACGGTTCTTAGTACGAAATTCCAGCCATAATTTTACATATCATATTACTGAGAAGCTTGTTTATTGCTCTCTCCAAATATATAAATAATTTTCTGGCCCTTTTTATTTAGAGCAAAAAATTTGTCGCCATCAGACAATAACCTAATTACTAAAAATAGACTACTTTCAATTTATTTTATTCATCGAAGGCTCGGATTAGCCCATACGGAGCATGTGATTTCACTGAAGTCTTGGTCATCCAGCGAATTCCTTATTGTATGCTGATTTGATTGTCCCTTATTGTATGGTGAGTGGTCTTATTGTATAGTAGCTTATTGTATGGAAGCTTGATCTCGGCCGATTTCTCGGCAGGTAATTAGCGTACCAAAATATAAATAACACCATTGGAAGGCTAATTCAATTCTGATTCATACCATATAAATCATTATAATTTTAAGTACAGACATCTGCTTACAAATTAGAGTTTTGTAACTCGTGTCCAGGATTTTGACGTTATCGATGAAAATTAGCCACGATGATGTCACAGCATTCATAGCCCTACCTGGAGTACTAAAGACTCCTACGCGAAAGCGAATTATTGAAATAAAATTGAACCATTTGTCAGTCCCGAAATGACCTAGTTTGTGTCGAGTGGACGTTAAACTCCATTTCTCTTTCGATTTGATACAATAAAATCTTATCTTACTATTCTGTCTCAGCGCGGAGCCTTACAGTAAGTATAACCAGTGACACCAAAACACAAAGTGACCAATCAAGTTCTGAGCTTTATTGGAACTTCTACGAGTGTTGTACATAGGTGTATCATGTGTGGTAAAAAGCTGAAATAAAAAATAAAACCTTACAGTTCTATACAAAGATCAATACAAACTACTTTTCATACAAACTTGAATTTGAGATGACATGAATAGCTTTCCGTAGTTTTTAGAATCAGTTTGAACGTCGTACTTACTCAATACTAAACGACATAGTTTAAACCATTAACATACTAAATACACAATTGGTTTATGAGAATGATGTACAGTAATAACATACTAAATTAAGCTCGACTTTAAAATATTCCAACACGTAAAAGCATTTACATTTCCCGTACATGCACAATAACAATAGGCCTACATTACAACGTAACTTTGACACAACTAAATAATAACAGAAACCTAATTGCTGCCATCTTATAAACATAGCATTAATTATAAGTATTTGTTGTTTACTTACTCCGTGACACAATGAAGATAACAAACAAAAGATACATTTAGAAACAAAGCTGAATGTTAAGCCGTGTACTAGCGACCACGCCGTGACCAACTTCCGGAGACGTTCAATTACGTCCAAGAGAGATTACTCCAAATTATAAAGGCAAATAAAAGCACAGAACACTCCCCGTCTGATGACTATCTGTCATCACATGAATTGATACATATGTACATGCAATAATACCACTCTTACATATCAAAATTTTCGGTTTCATAGGACTAACGCCTTAAAAGATTTCGAATACACATTCTAAAGTCAGGACTCGTCAGGTATTAACAAAACAAGTTCTACTATAGGACGAGTATATATAACCACATGTTGTCCATCCCGGATAACACGAATATCACATTTACGCACTAGGCCATCTGCTTCTCTGTAGGTCTTCTCAACAACTCCGATAGGCCACATATTTCTTGCAACCTGTTTATCCTTAACTAGCACGACATCCCCACAAGAAATATTTCTTTGTATTTCGCTCCACTTACGTCGCGTTTGAAGAGTTTGCAGATATTGAGTCCTCCAACGGTTCCAAAACATTTCTGCTAATATCTGCACACGTTTCCATTGTTTCTTGAAGATGTCTTTATCACCCACAGTTTCCATGATCCCGGTAACTTGCTGAGGTTTCTGAGTCAATAGCAGCGATGGAGTTAGTGGAGTTGGATCTCCGGGATCTGATGTTAACGGAACCAAAGGCCTTGAATTAATAATTGTAGAAGCCTCAGCGAGAAAAGTAACCAGCATCTCGTGAGTAAGCTGACCCCCTGGAACGTCTAGTAAGATAGAGTCTAGGATCCTCCGGGTAATACCAATAACACGTTCCCATACTCCACCCATATGCGAGGCGTGAGGAGGATTGAAGATCCAGGCAGCGCCATTACTATTGAGGAATTCCTTTACTTGAACATCTTCCGCATTAATAGCTTTGACTCCGATGTCGTCTAATGCACCAATAAAATTAGTACCTCGGTCAGACCTGAATAACTTTACGGGACCACGAATCGCTAAAAAACGTCTCAGTGCCATTATAAATGAGGAGGAGCTGAGTTCTTCAGTTACTTCTATGTGAACGCCCCTACACGTTAAACAAGTAAACATCACAGCCCATCTCTTACTGCTAGCCTGTCCTCCTCTTGTGCGACGGGTGACAATGTCCCATGGACCAAAACAGTCAACGCCCACGTTGGTAAACGGCGGTCCGGGTTCTAGGCGATCTGATGGAAGGCTTGCCATTTTCTGACTTCCTAGCGTTCCTCGAAGCTTCTGACACTTAACACATTTACTTATAATTGAAGATATGAGCGACTTGGCTCCCGTAATCCAGTAACCTGCTGAACGTATGACACCCTCTGTAATATGCCTTCCCTGATGATGAACACGTTCGTGAAAATTACGGATCAGTAATGTTGCGATATGATGTTTTCCAGGAACAAGAATTGGATGTTTCTCCGCTTCAGGGATGTTGGAGTAATCCAAACGACCCCCTATCCTCATCAATCCATCTTTGTCAATGTATGGTGAGAGTTTAGTTAGTGAGCTTGACTTAGGAAGTTGCTTCCCGGAACTGAGAAACTGAAAATCGTCTTCGTACACTTCTCGTTGAACTTCACGAATAACAAATTCCTCTGCATCATCAAAGGCAATCACAGTACACGACGTCCAAATTAGATGTGAAGTATCAGACATGTTATCTTTCTTAAAAGCTCTTGCTACATGTTTCAAACGAGCAATAGTCTTAACAAGTTTAGTCCAACTGGAAAATTTTTCGAAACGTTGGGTTCCTAGTCGACTCAAGACGGATACACGAGTCTTGAAGTTTGTCACATCAGATTTGACTTCTTTATCAGATTCAGCCTCTAGCACTTCAAAAGATTCAATAACAGCATTGTGATTCTTCAACAAAAACTGCGGACCGTTTAACCAAGATGAAGTCTGCATCGCAGATGCTTGAACAGAACGCGTCGCTTCATCTGCAGGATTATCCTTCGTGGAAGTATATATCCATTGATGTGGATGTGTAGAATGTCGAATTCTTGCCACACGATTTGCAACGTAATTGAAAAACCTTCTTTTTTCATTGTAAATATAGCCTAGAACTACTTTGCTGTCTGTGTAGAAGGAAAAATTGTTTATATCGAGGTTTAGATGATTTGAGATGGTTTCAGCGACTTCCACTGCAACAACGGCCGCACATAACTCTAATCGCGGTATAGTATTTCCATGTAAAGGTGCTAACTTTGCTTTACCAAGGATGAAGCCTAACTCAAAGTTTCCAGTCTGACATGGCGCTCTAACATATCCAACAGCAGCTATCGCCTTTTCGGAAGCGTCAGAAAAGATATGTATTGATTTATCCTTAATCTGACCAAATGAGGTTGAGAAATAGGTGCGAGGTATGCGTAGTCCACGTAGTTCCTGCAATGAGGTCGTCCATTGATCCCAGATAGCAAAATAATTAGAAGGTAACGGTTCGTCCCAATCACGGGTGCTGTTGATGAGTTCACGTAAGAGCCTCTTTCCTTCAATGACGACGGGAGCTAGGAATCCCAAAGGGTCGAAGATTGAATTGATTGTTGACAGCACTCCACGCCTTGAGAAAGGTTGCTCATCAGTTCTGATGTGATACAAAAACATATCTGATTCCAAGTTCCAGCCCACCCCGAGACTACGTTGTGTGGGTAGCGCTTCAACGTTTAACGGAAGATCTTTCAAATCCGTGGCCAAATCCTCTCGTGGAAAAGACGTCATTACTTCCTCTCTATTCGACACAATTTTGTGAAGTCTTAAGCCCCCTTCTACTTTTAGAACTTCCTGGGTCCTTTTAATCAGATCAGTGGCTTGGTGTGCGGTTGGAAATGATGAAAGCCCATCATCTACATAAAAGTCGTTCTCTACGAAATTGGTGACATCCGAACCAAGAGTGCTACGTTTTGCTGCAAGCCGAAGTCCATAAGTAGCAATAGCTGGCGAAGCTGTGTTGCCGAATACGTGCACACACATTCGGAATTCAATTAAAGGGTTGTCGATATTGTTTTCTTCGTGCCACAAGAAACGCAAGTAGTTTCTGTGTTGTTGGTCCACTTTAAAGCAGTAGAACATCTGCTGGATGTCCGCTATAACCGCCACAGATTCACGCCTAAACCGCATTAAGATGCCCAACAGACTGTTGGTAAAATCAGGGCCTGATAATAATACATCATTTAGGCATATGCCATTATATTTTGCTGCAGAATCAAAAACGATGCGGACTTGGTTCTGTTTTCTTGGATGATAAACGCCAAATATTGGCAGGTACCAGCACTCCTCACTCTTCTGAAGTGGTGGCGCTACTTCTGCATGCCCATTCTGTAACATCTTGTTCATAAAGGCGATGAAATGACCCCTCTTCACATGGTCTTTATGCAGGGATTTATCAAGCATATTCGCCCTTTTTAACACCTGGGTGTAGTTATTTTGTAATCTAGGTCTTGGTTCCCTGAATGGAAGTGGGCATGACCATTTACCATCTACATCTTGGCGGAAACTTGCGTCCATGATATGCAGAAAGGATCTGTCATCAACGGATAAACCTGGCTTATCATCATCCTTCTGCTTCAGGAATATGTTCTGGCCAAATGAATCCCATTCAGGAATTTTAAACAACTGCATTCTGTCACAGTATACAGTATCTAATGTCTCTTGCAACTTTATGCGATTATTACACGGATCGAACATGGTTGTACGACCATTCTCCAGAACGTTAGTCTTGTTTACGTTTAACACCTCTGGTACATGAACACTCCCTAGGCAACTTTCACCAATTATAACCCATCCTATTGGCAGTTTCTGCGCATACGGAGTATTTGCTGGTCCAATACGGTGATCCAAGACGTGATGAGCTTTAATGACATCACGACCAATCAGTAATATGATGTGGGCATTTTCATCTATTGGTGGAATGTGATGGGCAATATCATGTAGATGTGAATAACTCCGAGCCACATCAGGAGTAGGAATCTCATTCCTGTTGTCAGGCATTTGGTTACATTCAATGATCGTCGGAAGATCTAGTTGTACCGTTTGATCAAGAGATTCTAACACGATACCATTAATTTTTCTTCCTGCTGTTCTGACTTTTCCGGAACAGGAAGTGAGTACGTATTCAGTCTCTTCACATTTCACAGCAAGGAGATCGAATAAACGAGGACTGCCAAGGGTTCTGTTACTTTGATCGTCTATCATAACATATAGACGAATTACTTTGTCTGGTTTATCTGATGCGTATACATTACAAAGAACTATCTTAGCACATGACTTTCCAGGGAACTGTCCACAGATACGAGTACACAAAGAACTAACTTTCTTAAAACTCTCCCCGCCATGATTTGAAGTAGTTGTTGGCGGATCCACCGCAAGAGGGTCCGCATGTAGAGCCAGTGGGTGGTCATCACTATTACATTTTGGGCAATGTATAGTTTTCTTACATTCACGTTGAACATGCGATATACTATCGCAGCATCTGAAGCAGATCTTGTTATCCTTTAAGAATTTTAATCTTTCTTGCATGGGTTTTCTTCTAAAGGCTCGACATCTATTCAGAGAATGATCCGTTTGATGCAAAGGACACTTCGAAGTATTATTTAATGAAGATGGCGGCTTTTGAACCTCTTCTGTGTCAGTTTTCTTCACGAGAAAATTGCTCTTTTCTACATACTTCGGTTCCTTCTTGAACTGAGGCACTTCATACGAAAAGCTAGGATTGTTCCGAATTCTGCTTTGTTCCCGGAGAAATTCTGCAAAATGACTAAAGGGAGGATAAACAACAGACATGTGATTCTTTAAGTAGCTAACGGCTGTGGATGTCCATTTTTCCTGCAAATAATAAGGTAGCTTATTTATTATTGGAGTCACGCCAGTGGATGAATCATAATGGCCAAAGAGAGATTTCATCCTTTCATTATCCTTAATGGACTCTATTTCCGACACAAGATCAGAGAGTTCATAGAGTTTCTTTGTGTCTTTGTTTGTAAGTTTGGGGAAACTAGAGAGTTTGTTTTTTAAGGATTCTTCGATCATCTCTGGTGCTCCATACCTATCCTCCAATCGTTGCCAAATTCGTTGTAGACATTTAGCTGGGTTGTTTGCACTTGCTGTTCTTATACTCACAGCATGCTTAGAGGACTCAGACCCTAACCATTTAACAAGTAGATCCACTTGCTCCGAATCAGTGACATGCAGTTCATCCATAATATTAAGGAAGCTGGATTTCCAAGCAATATACGTTTCTGGGCGATCATTAAAGTTCGACAAGCGAGAAAAAAGTAAATCTTTCCGTAAAAGAAAACGTGTTATATCCGACGTGGGGTCTTGAACTACCGGAGTTAGTGGCTGATGCTGATCAGATGGATAGAACTCTGGGATATCGGCATGTAAGTATGTATTGTTTTTGATAGTCTCTGAAGTGTGGGATGCAGCTTGTTGAGCCACAAATTTTTTTGTTCGCGTAACAGAATCTTCTACAACTTTTGGAAGACTATCGTCAAAATCAGATATTCGACAATTTTCATACTCGTATACTCGAAGTTCAGCTTCTGCTGCCGCAGCTTCTTTCTGAGATATCAACATGTCAATGTCTGCTTGCATTTCAGCCTTTTTACGAGCAGTAGATTCATCTAACATAGCTTGATTTTTCCGTAGCTCCGCCTCCTTTTCCGTAAATGCCACTTTTGCTCGAGCGGCTTCAGCTTTTGCACGTTTACGAGCCAAAGTACTTGAGGCACAAGATGTCCCTTTACTTGATTTTCTTGATGAAGTCCGACTAGATTTAGAAGAGATGGACTCCTTTGAAGATGTCTCTGAAGACAGTAATTGCTTACGCAAGTTTATCGTAGTGAAGGCAGTATCTGTTCTCACTCTGCGAAGTTCTATGAGTGCCTGATAGGAATCCATTTCTCTTTTACTTTCGATGGACCTGTTCCTCCTTAGAAAATCTGTGTATTGGGTGGATGCTTCACGATAAGCTGCCAAACAGTTTGAGAGGGCTTCCTCGATAGAGCACAATCGACTTAAAGTCTTGTGTTCCACTTCCAGTTCAAGAATAACAGCATTTACTTTATTCCATGAGTTGTCGACATCTTCCGAAAGTTTATCACGGATTTCGATGTAAATTGACAGGCCCTCTTCTGTAAGATTTCTCAAACGACCTATCTTGGTGGTTGAAACCGTACTATTTGAGAGTACTGTATCTTTTGTTGCATCTGCCATGTTGATGGGACTTTTTACTATTCTGTCTCAGCGCGGAGCCTTACAGTAAGTATAACCAGTGACACCAAAACACAAAGTGACCAATCAAGTTCTGAGCTTTATTGGAACTTCTACGAGTGTTGTACATAGGTGTATCATGTGTGGTAAAAAGCTGAAATAAAAAATAAAACCTTACAGTTCTATACAAAGATCAATACAAACTACTTTTCATACAAACTTGAATTTGAGATGACATGAATAGCTTTCCGTAGTTTTTAGAATCAGTTTGAACGTCGTACTTACTCAATACTAAACGACATAGTTTAAACCATTAACATACTAAATACACAATTGGTTTATGAGAATGATGTACAGTAATAACATACTAAATTAAGCTCGACTTTAAAATATTCCAACACGTAAAAGCATTTACATTTCCCGTACATGCACAATAACAATAGGCCTACATTACAACGTAACTTTGACACAACTAAATAATAACAGAAACCTAATTGCTGCCATCTTATAAACATAGCATTAATTATAAGTATTTGTTGTTTACTTACTCCGTGACACAATGAAGATAACAAACAAAAGATACATTTAGAAACAAAGCTGAATGTTAAGCCGTGTACTAGCGACCACGCCGTGACCAACTTCCGGAGACGTTCAATTACGTCCAAGAGAGATTACTCCAAATTATAAAGGCAAATAAAAGCACAGAACACTTACCATGCTGAATATTTGCTTCTACGTCACTGATTCGCGACAAAAAAAACAACAGTGAATCTCATAACTTCCGGTTTATCATATTTTAAGGTTGTATAATGATTATAGACATGGATCAACCTAGTTCAGCTCTGAACGTACATGTAGGTCTCATTACACTCGGCCTGTACTGAGACCTACGTTCAGAGCTGAACTAGGATCAACCCAACACGAATAATTCATGTTCATATGCAAAGTCACATGTCTGTATTTTGTTGTCGAAAAACGGTAAAATCATCAACTATTCCCTAATGAAAAATATAGATTTGTTCTCAATACTATAGGTCTGAAATAATTTACCCCTCACCCCTAGAGTCGGGCAATTATTAATTTTTCCGGCTATGGCCTAATGGTGAAAAAAATAAAATTATAGCGAATTATAATTAAGTGCCCGAAATCAGAGACTTTTACTGGGTGTGGAATCTCTGTGATCAAGTCACGAAACCCTATTCACTTGAGGACGGCTTTCAGTTACTGTCCAACTATTATCAATTTGATTAAAACACAGATCATTTCGTGTTTGAAAGTTCATAATTTCATTTTACTTGTCTTTACTACACTAGGATGTGGAAGAGTTGTTATATTACAAGCGTTTTGGTTGAAGTGAGGGATTAGCCAATGAAACGGTCTGTTACGGCGACTTCTTGGCATGCCATGCACGGAACTGTAGGTAAACCACTAGAAATGTCAACGTTGATTGATTAATCAATGCCTGGCGTCATACTGTCAAAAGCCGCTTGTACGACCCCCGACACGACCTTCCAGTACAACATGTCAAATCTTCATGTAGTAGAGGTCATCGAAAGTAAAAAAAAATGAAACGAAATATAGATCTGTATTCAATCAGATTCAACTATTACATTATGGATAAGACGCTGGCTCGCTAGCCTGGAGGTCGGGTTTTCAAACCCTGCATTAGCCGAGAAAGTTCATCCAGATTTTCCGGCATGGTTTCCCCTTGTCAGTGATGCAGGAAGGAGGTCCTGACAAGGACAGCTGTCTAGTCGCTCGGATGGGACGAAAAATCGAGGTCCCGTGTACTCATTGGCGTGCACGTAAAAGATCCATTGGCAGTTGGAATTCGATATAAGAGTAGGCCATAGCGCCGCTGTCCGGGCAAAATTCCCCTCATAGCACACTGTATGGTGTATGCCCGTCTTCATTAGCCCAGTATAGGAGCAGAACAGTAGGACGTTAAACCCCATTTCATTTCATTTCATTTCTTTCTAGCTTATATGTACACGATCTAATAGATACAGTTCTTGAATTTTCCCAAGTTGTAAAGTTGCTTCACGTCATCATAGCACTGTACTAGAAAGGAGAGAGAGAGAGAAATGGGGTTTAACATCCACTCGACACAAACTAGGTCATTTCGGGACTAACATATGGTTTTAATTTTAATTCAATAATTTGCTTGCGCGTAGGGGTCTTTAGCAGTGGGAGGAAACCAGAGGACCCGGAGAAAACCCACGAGGTTGGACAGGCGACCCTACTCCTTGTCACGTACTAGAAAGGAAGCCTTCCTGGTTGTTCAGGCACTAATGATATAGTTCCTGACATTTACAACTTAGTGCCGGACATGTATTAATAATATCAATAAAAAAGATAAATCAGTGCCAGACAAAATGACAGGCACTAGAGGTTTAGTGCCTGACAAAGCCTGAATCTGGGCCTGACATTGTCAGTGACAGGTGCCTTATTTCCAGGCTTGATGGTATACATCCAATTCGTGAAAGAGAAGTACCACAAGTACCACATGCATTTGTTGATTTGGTGAAATAAAGATCAGCTATTCACCAAAGCTAGTTTAGAAGTTATTGTGTGTGCAGTGAGACTACCCCAACTCGATCTTCTCTTATTGTGTGCACACTGAGCCTAACCCGACTCATTGTGTGCACATTGAGACTATCCCAACTCGATCTTCTCTTATTGTGTACGCATTGAGCCTAACCGGACTCATTGTGTGCACATTGAGCCTACCAACTCGATCTTCTCTTGTTGTGTGCACATTGAGCCTACCCCAACTCGATCTGTGTACATTGTGTGTACATTGAGCCTACCAACTCGATCTTCTCTCATTGTGTGTGCAGTGAGCCTACCCCAACTCGATCTTCTCTTATTGTGTGCACAGTGAGCCCACCCCCAACTCGATCTTCTTTTATTTTGGGTAATACAACATAGAAAGCTTCTGCAATTTTGCAGTCTAGTAGTTTATTCATCCCTTGATTCTGTGAAATAACAATATTTTGCCACCAAATCTTGGGTGCTTTTTGATGCATCATGTGCATACCCTTTGCTTATCAAACACTCATCTCATAATCTTAAACACTGTGTCAATCGGATATCAATTTTAGCCTCAAGCAGTTATGGACGGTGAACCAAACAACGACCAGGGACAATATTGTAGGACGTGGAGAGCGGATGATGCTAAATCGGTCGTCACATCCGGCGTATGACCCATGCATCTTTTCTTACTACATATTTTGGAACAGGTCTTGATTGTCTAGTATTGTCTCTGGTCACATTTGTAATGCTTTAAGTGGTTAGGACGTATCTTTAAAGGCTCAATACCACTCTTGTTGTAACTGAATAATATGTCCCAATCTTTATTCTGGTCAACAAATTGTACTATTTTACAATATTCCAATTAATTGATGATACAAATTTCATCTTAGCACACCTAATTTAAAAAATTGGAAAAATTCAACTAAATGATTTAAAAAGCCTGACGTAAAGCTTTTCAAATGTGACTTGGATTTAAAAAGATTTTTGAACCCTTTGGACAAGTAAAATAGGATTTAATGGATAATTTACACAACAGGTAGGACACTAACACATCTAGTACTTAGAATAAGGTTATTTTTTTATTTTCTGGAGCTGTCAAGCCAGCAAGAGTGTTATTGTCCCTTTAAATGCCACTCTGGCATCCCACATTAATGACGACTTCACATTGTGATTGAATATATTGCATCTTAAGTACTATGATTAACAGGAACAACAAATACCAGAGTTTTTTGATTACAGTTTATATTAAACTACGATACATAGGATACAAGCATACATTATAATAAAGTCATTCCCTCTATCCCTCAACCCAGATGTTGTGGCTTGAACCTCAACGGTCTCTCCCAACGAATTTCTACCTGATGTTTCCTTTCTCAAATCTTCATCATGTCTTGAGAGAGAGAGAGAGAAATACAAACTAGGTCATTTCGGGACTAACACATGGTTCAATTTTATTTCAATCATTCGCTTGCGCGTAGGGGTCTTTAGCAGTGGGAGGAAACCGGAGGACCCGGAGAAAACCCACGAGGTTGGACAGGCGACCCTACTCCTTTCATGATATCAAGAACAAACATGGTTTTAGACGTAGAATTTAGGCCTATCCTTGAACATAGACCCCTTTTCCTGTTATTCTCACAATATTTCATAAACTGGAAACAGGAAAAGGGTACGGCAACACTCCCTTAGAGAGTAATTAAAGCTGGACAGGCTGATACATCTGCATGGAGACTGGATCAAAAGATGATACCAGCGGGGCGGAGTAGTAAAATAAAATTAAAGAATCCATGCTCAACAATCTTGATAAAGGGTATTGCACCCGAAACGTCGACCCATTAAACGATCTTCTATTTTTACAAGTCTGTTGTGTATTCTGTTGAGCGGGGATTCTTTAATTTTATGATATTTCATAAACAATTTAATTTGAGTTTTAACCCAATTAACCCCAGAGCCAATTAAAAGATTAGCTAACCTACCCCTAAGCTCATTAAATCAGCAGAACCATCTCCCTAAGCCAATTAGTGGATTATCGTTAATCCTAATACCCTCTACAAAATTGCAAATAACTAAAAAAATATTTTCTATACAAATTAATAATCTGTTACAAAAACCTACAGATTGTCGTGTTCTTTCCAATGACATAAAATTCAATTGTATAAAGTAGCAATTATATTACTATAAATAATATTGAAAAGTCAGTTCCACTAAAATTATGACTTTTCTCTGTCATGATGGTAAAATAAAGTTGACAAGTATCCCCTAAGAATTTTTTTGAAAATAGAACACAAATATAGTCCCTCACGTTGGCAGCAGTGTTCAAAGTAAATATAACTTTTAAAAAGAAATATTGCCCCAAATGACCGTCACTCCATTGATATCAGCAATTGATATTTCTGCTTTTGCATATATGGTGGGATTTGTTGTCTGCTTTGCTTCATTACGTCGAAAATAAAAATATATAGTTAAAATCTTCGACAATGTAATATTCCTCTTTGTAGCTTGTATTAAATCCTAAAACTTTTGATTCAATTTAGCTTTCCAAAGTCTAGAATTATTAGTCGTAAGTTTTGTGGTATCGTCTGTCTGAAAGCGCTCCAAGATAGCAGGCAACACACTTGATCTTGGCTGGAGTATACATATTCTTCGCATCATAACGCCCCAAAAAAAAAACGTATCTTTAATTTAAGAAATAAAAACAATAGAAACTAGATCTGCATAGCAGATATGAAAGCTTTCATATTAACTGCAAAGGGGGTTATTAGAATTTATTGAAACAATAAGTATATATGTCATCAGGTATCTGAAAAATTACATTTACCTTATGAACAAAATGGGAAAAATACAAAACAAAAATTGTCGACTTGTGGCTACCATCGAAGGCATATTTAGAAAACCGTATATTATATACAGAGTACGCAGGACAGGAATTAGTTGTGCTTCAATGTAAACCGGCCCGTTTCTTGCCTTTAGTTTTAGAGTTAGGTGTGATTTTCAAAGGATTCAATCGGAAATCGCTTAAAATCAATTGGCTTCTTCATCTCATGACCTTAAACACTGTATAAATTTAAAGTCAATCGGATATTGAATTTAGCCTCTAGAGCGTCCACAAGATTTTTTAAAGTGATCAAGGGCAATAACTCTGACGGTAATTATCGGAAATGGCAGTAAATATCAGATATCGCTGAAAATCAATACTGTAGGCATCTTCGTGTCATGACCTTAAACACTGCGCATAAATTTAAAGTCAATCGGATATTAACTTTGGCCTCTAGAGCGTCCACAAGATATTTTGAAGTGATCAGGGGCCACAATTCTGGCCGTAAATATCAGATATCGCTGAAAATCAATCGCCTGCTTCGTCTCATGACCTTAACCACTGTGTATGAATTTAAAGTCAATCGAACATTAACTTTGGCCTCTAGAGCATCCACAAGATGTTTATTAAGTGATGAAGGGCCATAACTCTGACAGTAATTATCGGAAATCGCTGAAAATCAATTGGCTTCTTCATCTCATAACCTTAAACAATGTGTATAAATTTAAAGTCAATCGGATATTGAATTTAGCCTCTAGAGCACGCACAAGATTTTTTGAAGTGGTCAAGGACCATAATTCTGACAGTAATTATCGGAAATCGCTGAAAATCAATAGGCTTCTTCGTCTCATGAACTTAAACACTGTGTATAAATTTAAAGTAATCGGATATTAACTTTAGCCGGCCGGACGGCGGCGGTGACGACAATATACGACCACATTTCAATGTGGGCGTATAAAAATTAACCAATGGCATATAATATTTAATGTATGATAAAGTCAAAATAGTCGATTTCGGTTTTTGGTGTTGCGTTCATTTTAAAAAAAATGTCTTTTACGGATAATGTGTATAGTACTAATAGCAATCACATACGGAAGAGGCGATTAAGATCCCTTTGCATTTGGAATTTCAAAATTAATTAAAACCAAATTTAAATTCCGAAAATCGGTTGTTTATTTTTTGCTGAAACTCCTTTTTTTTAATCTGATCAAAATGGGAGTAAGTCACAGAGTGGTAATGGGCGTATTGTGTCCAAATTTCATGGTTTTGGGACAATCGGTGCCGGTGTCGTGGCGAAATTCCACTTTTTTCGTCCTTACAGAAGCCGTAAATGGCGAAAAAAAACGAACGGCAGGAACCGTGTCAAGAACAAACGACCTGAACGAATGCAGGTATCGCCTTGAAGTTTTCAGTGCACCTAGGTACCAACGTGAAAAGTTCCTCGTCGGTATTTGGTAGTCAACGTACCTTTGGTTCCAGCGAGGTGCATGCGCGAAGTAAAAAGAAATTACGGTCGATTTTGGGATTTTGGGTATATTTCGGAGTGGTTTGGTAGGTGACGGTGGATCAGGGACTCAGATTGATCTAACATGGCGATCATAACACAATATGATAATCACTTTGAAGAATGAGCAAATTTTCGCCACCGGGTGGATTTGCTCTGCCCAGGCAACGTTCCTGTGCTCCGATTGCCTTCAAATTTGCACAGAATGTACCTTGGGATTCTAGCTATCACATATTAAAAATAGAAGAGTGTTGAATTCCGGGAACGTTCAAAATAAATTCAAAACCCACCCCAAACAATCAAAGGTTTTTTGCTTAAAAAGTTGCCGTATTTTATCGAATTTTTATTGTTCTTGATATCTGAGGATTTTCTGAATTTAAAATGTGATAAATATCATCGCGGCGCAGCCAACCGCTAGAAATTCCAGAAATTTGGACCATCGGAAGGATGCCTCAGCAGTCAAAAAAGGTCAAAATAGGCGATTTCGGTTTCTAGTGTCGATACATCGTTACGGTCATTTTAAAAAATTGTCTTTTAAGGATAATGTGTATAGTACCAATACCTATCACATACGGAAGAGGCGATAAAATCTCTTTGCATTTGCAATTTCAAAATTACTTAAAACCAATATTAAATTCCGAAAATCGTTTTTTTGCTAAAACTCTTTTTTTTTTAATCGGATCAAAATGGGAGTAAGGCACAGAGTCTATGGTGGTAATGGGCGTATTGTATCCAAATTTCATGGTTTTCGGACTATTGGCGCCGGTGTCGTGGCAAAATTCCTCTTTTTTTGCCCTTACTGAAGCCGTAAATGGCGGAAAAAGCCGAACGACAGGAACCGTGTGAAGAACAAACGACCTGAACGAATGCAGGTATCGCCTTGAATTTTTCAGGGCAGCTAGGTACCAACGTGAAAAGTTCCTCGCCGGAATTTGGTAGTCATGGTACCTTTGGTTCCAGCGTGGAGCATGCGCGAAGTCAAAAGAAATTATGGTGGATTTTGGGTATATTTCGGAGTGGTTTGGTAAGTGACGGTGTATCTAAGATGGCGGTCATAACACAATATTATAATAACTTTGAAGAATGAGCAAATTTTCGCGACTGGGTTGATTTGCTCTGCCCAGGCAACGTTCCTGTGCTCCGGTTGCCTTCAAATTTGCACAGAATGTACCTTGTGATTCTAGCTATCACATATTAAAAATAGAAGAGTGTTGGATTCCGAGAACGTTTAAAATAAATTCAAAACCCACCCCCACCGATCAAAGTTTTTTTGCTTAAAAAATTGCTGTATTTTATCGAATTTTTATTGTTCTTGATATCTGAGCATTTTCTCCTTTTAATATGTGATAAATATCATCGCGGCGCAGCCAACCGCTAGAAATTCCAGAGATTTGGACCACCGGAAGGATGCCTCAGCAGTCAAAAAAGGTCAAAATAGGCGATTTCGGTTTCTAGTGTCGATACATCGCTGTCGGTCATTTTAAAAAAATGTCTTTTAAGGATAATGTGTAAAGTACTAATACCTATCACATACGGGAGCGGCGATAAAAATCTCTTTGCATTTGCAATTTCAAAATTAATTAAAACCAATATTAAATTCCGAAAATCGTTCTTTTGCTAAAACTCTTTTTTTTAATGGGATCAAAATTGGAGTAAGCACAGAGTCTGGGGTGGTAATGGGCGTATTGTGTCCAAATTTCATGGTTTTTCGACAATCGGTGTCGTTGTCACGGCGAAATTCCACTTTTTTCCCCTCATGGAAGTTGCTCGCCGGAATTTAATACTCATGGTACAGTTGGTTCCAGCGTATTGCATGCGTGAAGTCAAAACCAGCTAAACTCGAAAACAACCTTGTCGGCACGGAAAACATCAAAGGTGAAATTCGAATTTTTGAAATATTCAAATACCAAACATTCGACCATGATCCAGGCTATCCTGAAATGTATTAATTTCGGTAATAGGGGACAGATTCTCTAAGCCACGACCAATTGTGTATGTTTTCAAGCCCGTTAATGTGGATTTTTCACTGTTTTTCATTTTCAATTCAAAATGGCGTCCATCAGTTGACCTAAATCAAAATTCTGCGTGGAACATTGTTTAGAGATTCATTCAAGGATTCTGAAAATATAATTACCTTGTCTGTAAGTAAAATATCAAAAAAGCCTTAGGGATTTTTCACATTTCAAGATGGAGGCACTTCCGGTTTGGGCTACAAACTCCATTTTTTGTGTACGAATCAGTAGTGTCGTAGCTAGTAACGAAAAACAATTTCAAGGCAATCAGACTTATATTTCGTCGATTTTTTTGAAAACTTTGATCCTTAATTTCATAAAGGGGAGATAATACAGAAAATTTCTAATGACATTTTTCAAGTTGTATCGGTAAGATCTACTTACATACTTAATTTCATGAAAATCGTGCAACTATTAAAGAAGTTGTCAAGTTGATTTTAACTTCCGGTTCGAAATCACAGCGGCGAATTTTCGAAATTCGAAAATCCGAAATTGCAGATTTGAAGTAAATGATTCAAGGTACTCAAAGAATTTTTTTTTAGGAAAATAGGTCAAAAAGTCACAAAGTTACAGCAATGTAGGTCAAATGCATTTGTTCGTAAAATTCGGTGATTTCGGATGTGTAAAACGTTTTGAAAATATACCTATTCCAAAGCCACCACCCATTCTTGGGGGGGTAGGTCAAAGTTTCAGAAAGATCCCATGGTTAGATTCTGAGATATAAGATTTGCAGGAAAAACTCAAAAAAAATAATAATAATAATAATAATAATCTTAACAGAAACAATAAGCTTTCATACATGTATGTAATACATATGAAAGCTTAATGAGTTGATTGATCTGGCGCTTTTGTTCGCTAATGCTGTTGCCAGGTATGATGGTTCCTTTTGTTGATTCGTTACCGTCAAATGACAGGGTGCAAACTTATTCGCACTCGTCAAACATGAGTTAAACAAACTTATACCATAGCTAATATACTGACAATGGGGAATACAAATAAAACATATGTATCTATCAAATTATAACTCATGTCCTCTGGTGCACTTATGTTCGTCTAATCCAATTTCGCAATAAATTATCAAATAGTATTGCAATATACACTAGGGACCGGGTATCATTCAGATTTGATGAAAAAAGAAAAGAAACTGAGCTTACCATCTATAATCTAATACACGTATTCAGATTGCCATGCAGAAAGTATTAATTACCATCAAGATTCATTAAATAACGCCCAGTTTGTGCTACCGTTTAGTTTAAGAAACACCATTTAGTTTTGACATCGGTCATCTAGTTTATGACCATTTAGTTTAGTTTTGATATTGCTCATCCAGTTTATGACCATTTAGTTTCATAAACTAGACAACCGCAGTCAAACTAAAAACGGTAGCACAAACTTGGCGGTTTTTGATGAATCTTGATGGTATTTAACACTTTCTGCATGGCAATCTATTAACTGAATATGTGTATTAGATTATAGATGGTAAGCTCAGTTTCTTTCCTTTTTTCATCAAATCTGAATGATACCCCCGGTCCCTAGTGATACGTGGGCATAAAAAATGATTTACTAAAAAACTTCACATGATTTATAAGGTTTTCTATCCAGTATGGATTAAGTGCAGGTTTTTTTGACAGAAACATCAATCATTTTTCTCGAGAATGCGTTCTTATATGAACCTTTAACTGATGAGTTCGACCAAATGATTTACCACAAACATCACATTTATAAGGTTTTACACCAGAATGGGTTTTCATGTGTTTATGGAGATTACTTTTATCTGTGAATGCTACACGACAAACATCACATATATAAGGTTTTTCACCCGTATGGGTTCTTCTGTGTCGTTTAAGAAGGGAATTTCTATTAAAAGTTTTACTACAAAGATCACATGAATATGGCTTTTCCCCCGTATGGATTCTCATGTGCTGCTGTAACTGGGCGTTGGCAATAAATGAGATAGTACAAATTTCACATTTGTAGGATTTTTCCCTCGTATGATTCACCATGTGTTTCTGTAGCAAAGTACCATGACTGAATGGTTTATCACAGAAATTACACCTGTAGGGTTTTTCTTCCGTGTGAGTTGAAATATGCGCCTGTAAATGACAAATCTGAATAAACGATTTATCACAAATGTCACATTTATGAGGCTTTACACCAGTATGTATTTTTATGTGTCTCTGTAGACCGCTAACACCAGCAAATGATTTACTACAAAAATCACACTCAAAGGGTTTTTCCCCTGTATGAATTCTCATGTGTGTCTTTAAATTGCTGCTAATAGTAAACGATTTAGCACAAACCCCACATGTATACGGTCTTTCCCCAGAATGAGTCCTTTTTTGGTGTGACTGTCGATTTTTTCTGGTATTAAATGATTTATTACAAACATCACATTGGTAGGGTTTCTCGACATTGTGTGATATTAGATGCCTTTGAAGATGATAATTCGAAGAAAATGATTCACCGCAAACATCACAATTATAAGATATTTTTCCCGTATGAATGATCATATGTTTCTGTAACTCGTAACCCCGAGAAAATGATTTACGACAAACATCGCATGTATAAGGTTTTTCACCAGTATGAATTCTCATGTGCCTCTGTAAATTACCATTCACACTGAACGATTTACCACAAAAACCACACTCAAAAGGTTTCACGCCAGCATGAATTCTCATATGCCTCTCTAGATTCCCACGTTCAGTGAATGATTTATCACAAACATCACATTTAAAAGGTTTTCCTCCACTATGAATTTTCATGTGAATCTGTAGATCACCATTGTGACTAAATGATTTATTACAAACATCACATTTATGAAATCCCATGTGTATCTTTAATGACCGGCTTTCGCTAAATGAAACCAACTCATCTGTTTCTAAATCGTTTTCAACATCTACATAGTCATCATCAGTTTTCTCTTCTTTAACATGACAATATTCATCTATATCATCAGTTTTCTCTTCTTTAACATGGCAATATTCATCTACATCAGTTTTCTCTTCTTTAACATGACAATATTCACCTACATCATCAGTTTTCTCTTCTTTAACATGACAATATTCATCTATATCATCTGTTTTCTCTTCTTTAACATGACAATATTCATCTACATCTTCAGTTTTCTCTTCTTTAACATGTATTTTATTGTGTTTTTTTAAATCATCATATTGTTGAAAGATCTCATCACATACTACACACTGGTGAAAAGTTTTAACATTATTAGTGTCCTGTAATATATAAAAGATATAACATAATTAGGTTCCTGTAATATATAAAAGTTATAACATCATTAGTTCCCTGTAATATATAAAAGATATAACATCATTAGTTTCCTGTAATATATAAAAGATATAACATCATTAGTTTCTTGTAATATATAAAAGTTATAACATCATTAGTTCCCTGTAATATATAAAAGTTATAACATCATTAGTTTGCTGTAATATATAAAAGATATAACATCATTAGTTTCTTGTAATATATAAAAGATATAACATCATTAGTTTCCTATAATATATAAAAGTTATAACATCATTAGTTTTCTGTAATATATAAAAGTTATAACATCATTAGTTTCCTGTAATATATAAAAGATATAACGTCATTAGTTTCCTGTAATATATAAAAGATATAACGTCATTAGTTTCCTGTAATATATAAAAGTTATAACGTCATTAGTTTCCTGTAATATATAAAAGTTATAACATCATTAGTTTCCTGTCATATATAAAAGTTATAACATCATTAGTATCCTGTAATATATAAAAGTTATAACACCATAAGTTTCCTGTAATATATAAAAGTTATAACATCATTAGTATCCTGTAATATATAAAAGATATAACATCATTAGTTTCCTGTAATATATAAAAGATATAACATCATTAGTTTCTTGTAATATATAAAAGATATAACATCATTAGTTTCCTATAATATATAAAAGTTATAACATCATTAGTTTTCTGTAATATATAAAAGTTATAACATCATTAGTTTCCTGTAATATATAAAAGATATAACATCATTAGTTTCCTGTAATATATAAAAGATATAACATCATTAGTTTCTTGTAATATATAAAAGATATAACATCATTAGTTTCCTATAATATATAAAAGTTATAACATCATTAGTTTTCTGTAATATATAAAAGTTATAACATCATTAGTTTCCTGTAATATATAAAAGATATAACGTCATTAGTTTCCTGTAATATATAAAAGATATAACGTCATTAGTTTCCTGTAATATATAAAAGATATAACGCTATTAGTTTCCTGTAATATATAAAAGTTATAACGTCATTAGTTTCCTGTAATATATAAAAGTTATAACATCATTAGTTTCCTGTCATATATAAAAGTTATAACGTCTTTAGTTTCCTGTTATATATAAAAGTCATTAGTTTCCTGTAATATATAAAAGTTATAACATCATTAGTTTCCTGTAATATCAGGGCTCAAAATTCACAACAGCCATTGCTGTCGTAAACATGGGAATGGCCGTCGATAGCTTTAACACCGACGGCCAAAAATTGCTGTTGTAAATTTGGGAAAAAAATCATTGGTCGTAGAAATATCTTAAATTGCCGTTGATAGCACTCATATTGGAAGTCAAATTAAATGAAAAAGTTCATATTGTGTGCGATGCATTTTTTTCCGTTAAACTTGGCTAGCTCAATACGGTAATTGTTTTTTAAAGACTGATTGTTCGTGTTCTGTTCCTACTCCTGACGTTACTAAAAATAGAGCAAATTATCAAAGCAGAAATTGCATGATTTGTAACCCAAAGTAGAGATCTCTTAAGACACAAGAAATTACGAGATGGAAACGTGAAAATTTTGACAAGAATGTCAGAGAAAAGATTCTATTTTGATGGCATTTTCTAGGATTTATGATTATATTTTGAATGGGGACTATGTTTTCAAATAAAGAAATAAACTGGGCTAATGAAGACAGGCATAAGCCATACCGTGTGCTATGTGGGAAATTTTGCCCGGGTAGCAACACTACGGACTACTCTTATACCGAATTCCAACTGCCAAGGGATCTTTTACGTGCACGCCAATGTGTACACGGGACCTCGTTTTTTTGTCCCATCTGAAGGACCTGTGTAAAATGAGTAAAAGGCACCAAGTCCAGACCAGTTTCCTCACCTAAATCACATTCTAGGTGCGTATTTGATTATCCTTCGTAATCTCTCTCTCTCCCAACCAGTGATGGGATTTTGCCCGTATATTTTTTCCAAACGCCCAAAATGGTGAATAATATTCAAAATTCCGAAATTAATATAGTTTACTGAGTGTATAACTACCACTCAACCAGATTATCGTCGATAATACGGTGGATTGATTAGGTTATTAAGTGATCAACGTATTTATCGTGTTATACCGTCTAAAACCTACCTTGATTAACTACTTAATCTACCTTGATTGACTGACTTAATCCTTTGTCGGACAATTCATCAATCTAATCTTAAACAGAAGTCATTGCTTCCCCTTTGTCGGACTATTCGTCAATCCATTATAATTTTAATCTTCGTGTTAACCTCGTGGTTTCTGCATTGTCGGACATTTTAATCGCATTGATGTGAGCCGACAATATGTATAAACTAGTCATAGAAGTCACATATTGTAAGAGTATATAACGCCCAGATCAATAGACAGTCATTATAATTCGTCTGCGATATCACTTCGGTGGAAGCGAGCGTTAAATAAAGCTATTTCACACACACATATATATTCGAAAAATATTAGACATTTCTAGCACGCGGTTACAGCACTCGAGGAAACTTCGGAAGATTCTGTTACTCTAAATCTAGCTTCGGCTGCAGGACGGTAAGTGATATATACCTACGAACTTGCCGGTTTTAGAAAGAAGTTATCAAAATTGTGTCGTTCGAAGCGTGTTTAGAATTTTCAGAGCAAAGTTGTCCTTGTTTGAAGAAAATCTGATTAGGTACATATCACTTACTGTCATACAGCCGAGGCTAGATGTAGAGTAACAGAATCTGCCGAGGTTTGCCGAGTGCTATACCAATATTAGAAATCTCGTGAGACGCGTGTAATTATGAAATGAATACGTGACTAAATTCACGCTTCTAATGTCGAAGAAAAGAGCAATGTTGACAAATATGTCGATTGAAATAGTGTAAGTACTTAATTGTTTTAGACGATAGCACGTGCTAGAGTAGAATGCGATTATTTGGCGGATGGTATAATTCCTTGGGATATCATATTCTTACCCTCTGTACATAAATCGTAACGGAGTATAAGACGAATACTGGACTTCTGCTGAAAAATGTAGCGACTTATGACCCGAAAATACGGTAATTTTGGAGCAATTTCAAACAGTACAGATTGGCAGCAGTCGGCACGCTTTCATTCTATCGTATTACGAATTTTGTAGGAATATTACTGACATAAATTTGAATACCGTACGGGAATTAAATATGAAAAATAACGAGGTGCACCTATTTTTATATTACGGACGAATTTGAATATTTTGTTTACACGTGATTTTTGTGTGTGGTCTAAAAACTGCCATCTTAATTAACGATAAGAGTTATGTCCCTTTATTTTCGGTAAAAATGTCCGACAAGTAAAAAATTTTTTGAAATCCCATCACTGCTCCCAACTATGTATATTATTCCCAAAAAAGTTGTCTGAAATTTGTTAATAAAAGTTTACTTTGTATATACATGTACTTCTCATTAATTAGCTCCATACCGATGTCAATACACAATATTTTAATTTGTTATCAAATTCTTTCTTAAGAATATGTCACGTATGTGGTCGTTATCAAGCTATTTTAAAGATACATTATGGGAGATTCGATAACGAGTTGGCAGTTCTCACTATAATAATTAAAAACTAGATAATGTAAAGGTAACCGAGAAATAAGCGACCGAAAGTTCCGCATAGCCTCGGTCATCATTACTAAAGTCGGTACGACAGAAATCATAGTCTTGATTATACATTTAATCGTTAAATCGAGAAGGAAAGTTATGCAGCAAATCGGATCATAATCCAACAATTATCGCAGGATAGCGTTGACATCGAGAGTTGATTATGGTCTGGATATGTTACTTAATGTCTAATTAATAGTTTACATAACATTTCATGCCTAAAGAAAGACCTACAATAGGCAGATTTAGCTCTTGCATAATGTATGTTTAATAATAATTTCGAACCCAAAGAAACATTCCCTGGGCAACTAAATGTGACTAACACACCAAAAGTCCAACACTATATAGACTACCAACCCGTCAGCGCTTAATCTGATTAAAATACAGATCTATATTACGTTTTTTTTTATATTTTCGATGGCCTACACTACATGAAGATCTGACTGGTTGTAGCGATACATGTAGGTCATGTCAGAGGTCATACAAGCGACTTTTGACCCTATGATGTCAGACATTTGATTCACGTATCAAAATTGATGTTACTAGTAGATTACCCACAGTCCTGTGCAAACACGCCTAAAGCCAGCCGTAACAGACCGTTTCATTGGCTAATCCCTCACACCATTCAGAACACGTCAATGATAACAACTCTTCCAGATCCTAGTGTAAGTGTAGTAAAGACAAGTAAAACAAAATTTTGAACTATAAAAACGAAATGAAATAGGATCTGTGTTTTAACCAGATTGGGCAGCGCCCCAATTATTTGCTAATATAAAACTCCAGTTAACGTATTTTCTGCTGATCTGAAAAGCACAACTTTTGCTAAGACTCCATTTTGAAATTCTCTCCGACAGAATCATTATCCCGCCGTTTTGCATGAAAATACTAGGCTTTGATTACCATATAAGGAAACACAGGTCTGCATACGCATTTCCTACTACAAAATTAATAAAATGGGTTATTTTGGTGCGAAAACTTGACATGGGTGTGAATAACAAACAAAACCTGACAATACGTGGCGGCCGTATGCCACTCTTTTTGACGAGTGATTTCAGCTATAGATGACCGATGTCTAGGTCATATGTTTTTTTATTATTTTTTAATTCTGTTTTAAATTTCAAATCTATATTTTATTATTCATTAATGGTTGGTTAGGCATTAGAGGCAGACAGCAATTAACCTGTCAGTCAAATTATGAAAGACTGGTAACTAAAGTGGTTGATCTGTTAAGTCTTAATCCTTCAATAATTATATGTTTATGTCAACACTTTCTAAGTAACTAATTTGTATAAATAGACAAATGTATGTAAGATGATTCATTAGATGGAGAGACCAGCTTAGGGAACCTATAGGAAATTATAAGTTGTTAAATTGTTGTTGTTAATTATTTGCTCCTGAAATAAAGTGTTGAAGATCCACTCCAAGAATCTGTATTCATTTCTGATACTTGGAGAACACACGTAGACGAGCTACATTCCCTGATAGTCGAACGGTGTTATATAGATGAATCTTAAAATAGTATTTTGTAAAGAATGTAAACAATGTTTAGGCATTATGAATTACAAGTGTTTTATTTTCTATCGTAATAATTGTTGAGTAATGTTATTGACATGAACTTAAAGTCGGTACAGGAATTAAATATAGAAAATATCAAAATATCGAGGTGCATCAACATGTATTTTTCTTGTTTTATTTGAAGTATAAAAGAAACATAATATTAGTTAGTAATACAGTGTCAAATAAAGAGAATTACATATGGTTGCATCTCCAGACCGCAATTCCAGGAAAACGGTTTTCAATTTTTTCCAATACAATTGCTAGTAATACATGTAAATAAAATACTAATTCAGAACATTAGATTGAAGTGGGCTATATTTCAGTCGCTGGCTGTCTGATTTAACGCTAGAGTCACGTGACCTGAAACCCCTATTTACGGGCCATATTCCTTTGTTTATACGCGGCGACAACACTTTATCATGGCTCAGACAGTAACTTTTATATTTATGTGAATATTTAATTGTGCAATCAAATTTTAAATTGTATGTATTCTATCTCTTATTCAACTTTATATCACAACCAGCTCACCATTATTATAAGAGATTTCTTTTAAGTGAAGACGACACAAAATGGCTGATTCGGTTCCGACAGCGGAAGTCAAAGAACTGTTTCCGTTTCCGGTACAACTTGATTACAGTTGTATATCATAACACGACGTAGATCCATTCAACGTGAATAACCCACAATAACCATTCTTTCATTTCGCCACAGTGAAATAGATTCTAAATAGTTCGAGTCTCAATCACCGAATGGGGTCCTTGCCCTCTAATCTTCACCATAATTCTTCTTTGTTCACCAAAAGGAATCAGTTCTTGCCATATCTGACATAAATTAATAATAATCGAACACTAATTTCAATTGGTATTTTGTGTTTCAAAGTCAAGGACTCCGTAGTGTTGCTACCCGGGCAAAATTTCCCACATAGCACACGGTATGGCTTATGCCTGTCTTCATTAGCCCAGCATAGGAGCAGAACAGTAGGACGTTAAACCCCATTTCATTTCATCTGACCCAATGACAGACCTTATCATGACTGTTTCGTGGGGATTAAGTTAATCTGTGCTATAAATGACTTCTAACATTGACACCTGCTCAACATGCTTGTTATTATTGAACAGAAAACCCACCCCACTTCTCTATATGATTTCTACTAAAACTAGTGTAAACCAGCAAAAGAGTGCAATAACATTGAACATGTCTAGTTATTGCACGGTTAAGCTCCAACCAATCTACTAGAGGGAAAACAATCTGCTTATTCAACGAAAAGAACAAAGGAAGATTTCCCGTCTATGTTACAAGTCTAGTTATTGCACGGTTAAGCTCCACCCAATCTACTAGAGGTAAAACAATCTGCTTATTCAACGAAAAGAACAAAGGAAGATTTCCTGTCCATGTTACAATAATATTTTTATCCACATTATACTATTCAGTTAGACAGGTGACACTAGTCGTTGTGGCGTACAACCAGTGAATCGAAACCAGGCCAGTTGACTCAATGACAGACATTATGATACCACACACCCTTAGTTCCTAGGTGAAAGAGTTTAAAAAAACTTTATAATAAGCAGTTTTGTACAAGAAATTTAATACATAACAGTAATTAACATTTATTACAAAACATAAGGCCACAGCAGTTAAGTCATCCAAGCAGGCCACAGAGAATGTCGCATATTTATTAAAGGGAGCCTTTACAATATAGTCGGGGCAAAACCCCCAGATCCACGACCCTTTATGGGAGAACACAGTTTACCTCTGGGCTAACTTCAGGGTGTTAAGCCTAATCCAATTCAACACAACATTCAGTAAACTGTAAAAGATGAAAATAACTCATCACAAATTTGTCGCAAATTCATTAAAGATACGTTATGTAAGATTAAGATAAAGACCTAGCCATTCTTGCTATAATAGTTCGAAAATAGATAAAGTAAAATGAATGATTTGAAAATTTCATTCAAATTACTCTATTGCGAGTGAAGATATTAGCCTTTGAAGGTTTGACAAGACGTGTGCAATAATTTCAACCACTCCTCCATTTTTAGATTAAATCAAAATATGACTGAACCATTCTAATCTATTTAATATCGGAGAAATCTAATGCCATCGAGAGTTGATTATGGTCTGGATCAGTTAATTAATGTCTTATTAATAATTTAGAAAACATTTCAGGCCTAAAGCAGATTTAGCTCTTGCATAATGTATGTTTAATGGGAGCCTTTAAAATATAGTTGGGGCAAAACCCCCAGATCCGTGACCCTTTATCGGGGAACATGGTTTACCCCTGAAAACTATGGGCTAACTTCAGGGTGTTATGCCTAATCAAATTCAACACAACTCATCACACTGGTTCAGTGTTTCTCCAGTTTTTTTTTGCCATGCGATCCTGTAGATTATTACAGTAAACCTCGCATAAGTTGGATCTTTGCTCAACCCTGATTCGAATTAACCAAGTCTGATTTTCGCTCAACTCGGATCAAAATGTTCGGTCCATTTGATCTAGTTCCAGCTTTTTTCCTTCGCCTTAATCGAATAGGCCGTATGTTCAGAATTTCACTGTCTGTTTCGTCCCTATGGTCTAAAATGCGGTTAGATATTCCATGCACAGACCCCCAAAATACTTTTCTCTATCATTTTGACTCAAATCAGCCTATTTGACGCGACACAATAATAGAATTTTCCTGGAAAATTCAAAACTTGCTATCTGCTGTACGGGACACTTTCCGGGAAAATTTAGGACATTTTTCAAAGATGGCAACAAAACAGAAGTTATCTACTTGCACCAAAACGGAAGTTTAAAATCTACCCGGACCAAAACGGAAGTTATCTACTCGCACATACGAACAAAAGCTTGAGATGTGCGTTTGAATCAATTATTATCTGGCTCTTGCAGTTTATTTCTAATCGAGCTAAGATTGAATTTCAGTCTTCAGCTAACTCTGATCTTCGATTAACTCGGGATAAAATTGGCAAGTCCACTTAGATCCGACTTATGTGAAGTTTACTGTATATGGTTTCGCTTCAGTATGTACTCGGGGATCACGTGGCTAAGTGGGTAAGACGCTAGCTCGCTAGCCTGGAGGTCGGGTGTTCGATCCCTGCATTGGCCGAGAAAGTTCATCCAGATTTTTCGGCGTGGGTCTCCCTTGTCAGTGATGCAGGACGGAGGGGCTGACAAGGAAAGCTGTCTAGTCGTTCGGATGGGACGAAAAACCGAGGTCCCGTGTACACATTGGCGTGCACGTAAAAGATCCCTTGACAGTTGGAATTCGATATAAGAGTAAGCCGTATGGCGTATGCCCGTCTTCATTAGCCCAGTTCGGAGCAAAACAGTAGGCCGTTAAACCCCATTTCATTTCATTTCATTTCCACGGCCTGAGAATGATTTACTACAGACATCACACTGATACGGTTTTTCTTCAATATGAATTTTCACATGATGACATAGATTACGGTATTCAAAGAACGATTTACTACAAATATCACATTTATAATGTTTTACTCCAACATGCATGTCAGCTGATTGTAGGCCTACATCATTACCCTTACAGTCAGCTGATTGTAGGCCTACATCATTACCCTTACAGTCAGCTGATTGCAGGCCTACATAAATAACATTATAAGCTTTCAACTCTTCTTCAACATGTATTTTACAATGTTTCTCTAAATCAGCATACAATTTAAATTCTTCATCACATAAATTACACTGATGAACTGGTTCAATATCTTCAGCTTCATCAGGCATCTCTTCATAGCAATAAAGATCCACATCATTGGTTTTCTCTTCTTTAACATGACAATATCCATCTACATCATCAGCTTTCTCTTTTTTAACATGACGATATTCATCTACATCATCAGTTTTCTCTTCTTTAACGTGACAATATTCATCTACATCAGCAGTTTTCTCTTTTTTAACATGTATTTTATAGTGTTTTTTTTTAATCATCAAGTCGTTGAAAAAACCCATTGCATACTACACACTGATAAAATGTTATAACATCATTAGTTTCCTGTAATATATAAAAGTTATAACATCATTAGTTTCCTGTAATATATAAAAGTTATAACATCATTAGTTTCCTGTAATATATAAAAGTTATAACATCATTAGTATCCTGTAATATATAAAAGTTGAAACATCATTAGTATCCTGTAATATATAAAAGTTATAACATCATTAGTTTTCTGTAATATATAAAAGTTATAACATCATTAGTTTTCTGTAATATATAAAAGTTATAGCATCATTAGTTTTCTGTAATACATAACAGTTATAACATCAGTTTGCACTGTGCAGTTGTACTAAATCCACAAATGTTGCTTTAAACTCGTTTTCTACATACGACCTAATGTTAAACGAAATTTTTAAAAAAAATAGCAAAAAAACTTTCCAAATTGTCTCCCTTTCGAAAACAGTGTCAGATATTTCTCCTAGATGTTTTTGAAAGAGAGAGAGAGAGAAATGGGCTTTAACATTCACTCGACAACCCTAGGTCATTTCCGGATTAACATCCACTCGACATAAACTAGGTCATTTCGGGACTAACATATGGTTTAATTTTATTTCAATAATTCGCTTGCGGGTAGGGGTCTTTAGCAGTGGGAGGAAACCGGAGGACCCGGAGAAAACCCACGAGGTTGTACAGGCGACTCTAATCCGTGTCACATACAACTGGGGATTCGAAACCGCGCCAGTTGGCTCAATGACAGGCCATATGATACAGCGTGCACGTGCTAACCATTCGGTCATCCAACCCCCCGCAATTTCAGAAAGGGTATGCCAGATGACTATTATTATCAAATGTCACTCACTTTCAAATTTTTGTTAATGTAGTAAATTATTAGCTCTGAAAACGTGCTAAAAACGTTGAGATATAGCCTACTAATGTGCTTGTTTTTTAGCTACGATTGGGTGCCTTTGGATCCAAGTGGCAAACTCAGTTTCTTTATTAATGCATGTAACATCTTGAAAATAAGATAATTTTATACTATTATGACTAATTAAACTTACAGAGGCCGATGTAGTGGCAGAACCATCGCCTAACTCCAAATATTCGCATTTAAATTAATGAAGTGTTGTTTGATCCGATTTTAAATACAATGATTTATATCCGTTTCAGGTAGGATTATATGCTTAACTGTAGTTGGATGTGGCAAAAATATTATAAATAACAATAATCAATCATTGTTTTGATAAAAAATATTTTCAATTTTGCTTACTGAGGCCTGATGTGATTTGCGTTAGGCTTTGCTACGTGGAAATATATAGCACCATCTCTATCTAGAAACACGGAGGGTTGAGAGGAGGTTCGTTATCTAGTCAACTATATGAAAAATGCAGTTGCCATTGTTTGCGATAAATTTTTTTTCAGGATATAATTGCATTCTAAAACACACCCTGTTCCTCGTATACACATAATATTATATCATATCTTACCATATCGATGTGGTCCAATTCAGCTGATTATTCTTCTTTATCTAAGGTTTTAATTTTATAGTTTTGAATGTTGACATCATTCTTCGAATTGTTTTACAATAGTTACTAAATACATGCAGTTGATTCCAAGTTAAATACATGTAGATTACTGCGGTAGATTCCTCGACTC